TTTGTATCGAGGAAACGTACCCTGGTTACTGTTAACATTGCCGGAACAGTACCCTTGGGTACGCGGTCCGCGCTATACCGGAACGTACCTAGGTACGGTCGCGTTATACGCGACGTACCCTGGTACTATCTAATATGCCCGCCGACGTACCTCGGCCTACTCACAACGCAGCTAGGAGTTGCCTACGCCTACTCCTAACCCTAACCCCTAAACCATATCAAAATGAGTTACCAGGCGTAAACGTTTCGCAGTTGCCCTGAAGACTAGACCACTATGGGGGGGGGAAACAATTTAGGGACATGAACCTTTAAGTACTTTCTTAGGCCCCACTAGGGCCTAGCAGTAGATTGCAGCAGGTGTGAATGATCTGAATGAGCTACGCAGGCCATGGCATTAGCTCTACTCTTGAACTATAGCCCTTCGCTTCTGCCCACAGTGCACAGTGTTAGCACAAACTATGTTAAAACTGCGGCAATGCGAACTGCTCCCACTGCTCCCACTGCTCCTCCACAAAAAACGGCTCACAGAACACGCAAAATGCCCTTTTAACGCCTTATTTATCTACATCGAGTGATCCAACCTCTTACCTATCTTTTTGAACACTTTTCACAACTTTACACCATGCATCCCTATGATCTAATTAATCTATTCATTTATTCCTCAAAACTCTAGACTTCAAACGCTTAGCCCCTACTTCAATGCTCCTGCGAAGTTCCGATTCGGTTATCCGAAATGTAGCCCAAAAACATGGGAGCGGCACATTACTCATGGATGGGGTTGTGAACTGCACTTTTAGTTTTTATCATAATTAATACATTGTTGCATGGCAACTTGTAATCATGCGCCAGTGCTATAACCCCACACCTATGAGTAATATGCGCTAACCTCGTTTTTTCTGTGATCCGTTCCTCGTGGGACAGAGAGCAAGTCAGTCGAGTTTCCTTAGCCCAATGCCCAGACCGACATTTTTTCGGTCCACACCAAACCCACACCTTTGGCGCCAAAAACCACACAAATCACCCAAAATCGTGCTGGTGTTGGTCATTGGTCAGATGACAACTCGTGACTAGAGGAGCAGTATGGCTTGCCCAGTTTTCAACATAGTTTGCGCTATAGCCCTGTGCGCAGACGAAGGGCTATTGCTTCTAGAGCCTACGCGGGCGCCATAGTACATTACGTCCTGGGTTTCACACTACCGACTTTATGTTGTCAAATGCCGCGAGTTGCGACCAATTCGGCCAACATGAGTTGGCAAAAATAGAACTGTAATAGAGTCTCCCAATAGTTGCTCTTGACCCCTTGCTCGCGCCCGCTTTTGCGTTTACACTGCCGCGATTGTCGTTGGTAAGTGGCAAGTTGGATCCAATTCGCCAATTAGTTCTGCATAAAGTCCGAGCTAGTGGTGAAGCCTCAGCCCTTAACACGTACACACAGCCTAGCAGGGCGTCAGGTGCAGCCAGGCACGTCGTCGACTCGTATCACCAATATCTGGTGATGCACTGCATACAGAAAAGATCATTCATATATGTCTAAGTCATATACAGTCGTGACATGCAATCCTTCACACTCCATAGCCACAGCACTACTGGCCCTGCACACATTTATTGATGACATAGGCCTTCTTGCATTCAGAAATGACAGAATATTATTAAATGACAAGTATATCACCCCAATTTCTAAGGCATACATGCAGGCCACTTGACTTGGCTAACACATTGCCCATGCGACTTTGGTGCTTAACATAGCATCCATAATCCTTTGCATTTGCGTTAAATCTTCGCTAAAGTACTGCAGTTTTAAGATTGTATCGCGTTAATTCTTTATCATGACAAATTAGCCTTTTATCGAGGTCTCTCAGCTTTCCCCCACCTTGCCATCATTTTTTATAAGTTTCCATGCATTTACATTGCACACAACTTTAATGTTTACTTTTAGATTTGGATAGCGTGTCCCTGCTGAATCTTGTGTGATGGGAGCCAGTTATCAGCTAATGCGAAACACAAACTGCTGGTGAATTGACAGGTCAATCAAAACAATGCATAGCACAGAATCTGATCCCAGTTAAGTAGCACATGCTAAGTATTTTCGCTGAAGCAAATAGAATAATAGGTTGACAGGGAGGTATCAATACTAAGATTATAGCGCGGTAAATAACATCATCTAAACAAAACAAGATAAACTGTTAGCCAAGGAGATAAATTCTTCCTACCCTTCCTGCCTATATGTCCTCTAAACGAGCTCACAAGCTCTGCTCGATGAGTGCGCCAGGCACTGATAGACCCACGCAATCTCTTCGCGCTCTTTCTCCTTCGCTCACTCATTGCCACTCCCCATTCTATCCACTAGACAGATGTTACGTCTAAGGAGGTATATCTAGGATGTTAGTTAATTTTCAGGTTCAAAAATTTAGGTTATAATTACGCTACATAAAAAGTTTCATGTTCAGTATACACCTTAGAAATAATTATTAAAAAAATGTTTTAAAACTAACGACTACAGTTTGATTTACCAACCGACGTAGTGGCGCCACATTCAAGCGCACGCATCTGATAAGTTCGCGGCAAAACCACTTTCCAGCCAGGGGCGTGTACAAACCGAAGCGGTTGTTTCTTATTTATTCATTTAAAAGCAAAACGGGATTTTACATATCTTATAACACGACATATTAGTTTCAGTTATAATATGCGATAAATTTGCCCTAAATGAATATCCGTTCGGTAAAATAGCATTTATAGTATAAATATAATTTGCACTTTTGTGATTAAGCCCGGCCGGTCTGTAACGTGCAAAATCAATTGTCACAGATACGCAAACTTTTTCGGGGCTGCTCTGCAGCACGGTCGCCGGGTGTTTGTGACGCCGTTTCAATTTGCGCTTAAGCGCTTGATGTGTAAATAATATTATAACAATAAATTAGGTATCTGCTGGCTAACAAATACGTGCTGCGTATAGACGATTCGGTTATACAGTAAGTACTAGTTGTATGAGTAAAAATCCTCAGTAGGCTACTGTCCTTTTACCTTATCTTGCTGAACAGTTGGAAGCCTATATGTTTCGTTTTGATTTTGTGTTATTTGTGGATTCCCTTATCTTTCTTCAAAAATTCGACTATTTTATTTAGGACAACTTGTGGGTGTATTAAACCTCATTCTTTTGTTTACAGAGATCCAGAGTCCTCAATACACTCCACCCCGATGCCTCTGCGGTTTGCATCAGAATGTCCAATGTCCACGGCGGAGAGAACAACATTATGTCCAGTGAATGCTTCCAATGAAACAGGTGAGGAGCGGATGCGACATTGCATCCGCTCTTAACATGCGTATGCTGTCAGCGCAAACCAACAATAGCAGCAATTGAAGCTGCGCTGTCTGCCTCGAATCTACACTGCTGAAGTTGTTTTTTCTCCTATAAGTTTATTGCAACTATTGTTCGAATCTTTAACCCAATTCATTTTCTTCCCTGTCAGCATGCGCCCACCAAACCAGCGACCAGCACCTGACACCAGCCGTGCATGTTGGATTTGTTTGGCGTCGCGCAGGTGTCCAGGCATCCCGCCTCGGCGCGTGCCAGACGGTTACTGGACCTATTCCTCCAGCAGATTGTTCTGTGAATGCTATGCCCTTCAGAAAAGGGCTAAAGACCATCTCTCGCATGAAATAGACGCTACCACTTCGAACAAATAACATCGCAAACTGTACATTACGAGTGCTTGCCTCGCATCTGACACGTCCGTGAAGATGAGCTCGTTTTGCTTGTCTTGCTGTGATCTTTCTCGTCTTCCAGCAACAGGAATCGCAAAGCAAATTTCTTCTATGATCTTACAGAATGCTGGTACTCCTACAGGATAAAACTTAATAGTCACCAGGAAAATTTTCGACACTGCCTGCTTGTAAACATAGTGAGCTATCTCCAACGATTACGACTAGGACCTTTTAATTTCTCACGCTTGTCGGTCTGTTCTCTCGAATGCATTAACATTGGCTAATAATTTCTGCCGGGATAGGATGCGGTGGAAGAGAAGACCTCTTCTTCACACATGGCACACATCACCGCCCTACATAAGTGTAAACAACGAGATGCCTTGGCAGGAGTGGGGCGCGGGCTGTTGAAATGGGAGGCGCTACACTGCACGGTAAGGGCAACTCACAACTACGAAACATCTTAGCACTCCACAAAACAGTTCATCTACAATGCAAATCGGTGTATTGCCTTGCAAATGCCTTGAACTTGACAAATTACTAATGTTTAAAAAAAAAAAATTATCCTCTAAAGTCAAGGTGCATTTTTTGTTGCCTCATATAGACGTCTTACTATTTAAGTTTTGCTATAGAAGATTTTAATTTTACTCCAGGTCTTGATATCTGTTGTCTCCATCTTACCTTCACGGTGAATGTCGAGATCCAAAGCTACCTGAAGCTTTGGCAGGAAACGCCATAAGATTATTCTCCAAGAGCCAGAATGCCCGACATGGCCCCTTGGGTTAGTACGACCCGCTGCCCTGCATCCTTAAGCTTGCCGTATATTTGCGCCGTTAAATATCGTGCGATAACACAACCCTGGAGTGTTCACACGAGATCGCACGCTTCAATCATAGCGCTTAGCTGGCTAGTTATAATATAGACTGGTTACCCGGCTCGCACAGTTTCCACACGCTGCACTAACCGTGCTACGCGAACGGGCGTACCAGTCTAGGGTATGTGCCACTACATTCGCATATCCGAAATTGCGTTCACACGACAGACAATACGCGCGCCAGCGTGGGTGCCGGAATATACGCGGGCCCTCTATTTCTAGTTACCGTTACTGAAATACGCCGGCATACTCAGCGCGGTGAGTAAGCCGCGTAATTTCGGTACCGTACTGTATAGCCGCATATTATTTTTACCGGGTGTGTTGAACTCTCAAAGTACCGCCGTACTGCAAATCCTCGTGTGCAACGCAGCTATAGTCTCTGTCATTGTTTCAAAAATAATCACCAATATTAAGCCACATTTGCTAAGTATCCATCATACGCCAAACACACGAGCAAATGAGATGCCAGCGTTAAATCCTAGGAGTTCCGCCAATAATTGAAAGATAATTAAAGTAACTAATGTGTAAATTAGCACAGTAATTAGTTCAGGCGCTTTGGCAGGTACGAGCTTCCGTTCGACCAGGCACGACTGGATCGGTGACCGCTGCGGCACGCGGCCGTGCGCTTACATCATCAGACTAGCTATGATGGAGCCGCCCAGGTCGGATTCGGCGACTGGTCCAGTTGCTGCCTGTGGATGTCAGGCCTCGGCGATTGGACTCGTGCGCAGAACATACTTGGGATCGGATGACGCGTAAGGGGAGTCGTGCCCGCATATGCTGATGCTCTACAGCGTCGCGGAAATGTCTGCGGTGGACGCAGCATGGCAGGCATTGAAGGCCTCAGCATATATGCCTCAGTGTAATATATATAATAACTAAACAGTCAGTATTTAAAGCCAGCGCGCGCCCGACGTCGAAACAAAAGGTCGCAACGTTACATGTTTAACATTACTCTTGTTCTCGTAGATCCGAATCGCTATACACTGCGCTAGAAGAAATCTCGTAACTTTACCGTATTTCTGTTCAACTGTCTATCTGACTGAAACGTTAATGTTTAGGCTGTCTTTTTCTGATAAGGGCCCCCAGGTTTTGGCCCAGCTACGTCTACATATGGCAGGCATTTCGTCAGCGAAATAATTCTCGTTGGTTAAATTAACGCGCATTTTTCTTGGCCACGAGTGGCGTGGGCGAGGTGCGACAGTAAAGCCTGCAGCAGCAAGGTCTACTCCCATTTCCGAAGCCAATCAACAGAAGAAAGCACTAAGCTCATAGCACAGAAGTGGTTAAGCCGATCATTCGCGTTCGCCCCCCCCGTGGAAATACTTTTGTATATGGTCAGGCCTCTGAGATTTGATACCCGCACCACCTCTCTTAATATTTCGATGAAATACTGTTTATACACAAAAGGTAGTTCAAAGCACAAATATGCCCAAGATCGTGCAGTGTATTGCCCGAACATTTACGTGCTGCGGTGTGTGTTCGTTTCACGTGGTGCGTTGTAGTAAAGCGCGATTTTTATATTAAATACTTGTCATGACTGGCAGCTAAATATTGATCAGTGCTCAGACCATTGGGATTGTTATATATTAAATATAGATGATATTAGCAAAAATTGTGTCATTGTTTCAGAACTGCAATGAATTTCTGTCATTATTAGTTGTATAGAGTGACATGTGTTTTCTTTACTGCCTTTCCTTGCATTCTTTTGCTCAATTACACTACTGTCTCCCTACTTTTTTCTTATCACTAGTTTCTACTCTATCTAAAAGGTTTCGAACATTCTCCAACCTTACATTTTGATTTTGACATTAATGTCATAGTGCACTAGTTATAGTATTCATTAGAGCTGTACAATTAAGTATCTAATGATTAAATTTCATTTTGTGGCATTTATATAATAATTGTAGGCTATAATAATTTGATTCTGACTTAAACTTCTTCTGTACTGGAATTACTCCATTAGTAACGAATGACGAAATAATATCCCTTTTTACATGTCATACATAAAAAATAATACCCCATATAATGATACATCTATCTAATATATTCTGATATATATATATATACATATATATACGAGTGGCCTCCGCAGATAGAAGCACTGGAAACACAGTTGGGGGGTTAATTTTGGGCTTAAACTATTTGTTCTACATCTTTTATTCCTAAATCTCTCTCGCAAGGACTCACCAGATTTGCCATCTCCAGCTGTCTACCATTCAAAAATTTTCAGGGCACATGCCCCCCAGACCCGCCTAGCATGCCAGTGCGCCGGACGGCCCGCTCTGCTTTTTATTTATCACTGGGATTTTTCCTTCTGCTGCTATATATATATTTATATTATCAAGACGGTATAAAGGAAGCGTTATTATTTATTTATAATAATATCATTATTTAGCAAATCAATATATTATATAAAATAAATAAAAACATTATTTAACATATAATACTATATTATTTAATTCTATTAAAGACATTATTTTAGCCCAAAAATGACTTTATACGTAATTAATATATTATATAAAGTACATAATGACATTCATTTAACAAATAATATATTATATAATAAAATAATACATTATTTAGCAAATAAATACATTATTTACACAAATATTCATAATTTTAGCAATAATACATTATTTAGAAATAAATACATTATTTAAACATATAATTGTATTATATAATTAAATAAGTACATATTTAGCAATAATACATTATTTAACATATAATATAATAAAATAATACATTTATTATTATATAAAGGCACTTTATTTACTTACTCCTCTGCAGTACCACTATACTCACTACTCAGGGAGGACATAGCACTCTCTATCCAGCAGTACTATACTATACTATATTAGCAATAGAGTGTAAGTAGTACTATGTAGTATATCCTACACTACTATTCCCTAATAGTAAATACCCCCCTATAGTAGTACTATAGTAGCTATCACCGTATCACTGAGTCAATCAGTAATCACTACTACTGCAGAATATAGCTACTGCTGATAGTGGTCTATGTCCTTCCTGGGTTTACTGCCGGAACCAAGCTAGGCACTTGAAGCCGTTTTCAAGTAAATATACAAGCTAACTAAATACGAATCTATTTATTAGTACAAAATTCTTAATGTTTCTATGCTATCAGGCCTACTCTCTTTCACCTATTATCGCTTAGTTTCCCTACCATTGCATTACCGGCAGCCCATTGCTCTCGCGGCGGACTGTTGCACGCTTGCCACTGAATATATAGAGTGAGCACTCCCGATAGACCACCCCCATGCCTATAAATTTAAAAGCTTGGAGGAATTAACCTGAATATATATATATATATATATATATATATATATATATATATCCATCGATCTTTTCTATCTACAATATCAAGACAAATATGTAGAGTAATCGACAATACTCTACTTGTATTTCTCTTGACAATATGGCGATATATAACTAGTACAACTCGACTGAAAAAACGTCCGCATCGAATGAATTTGAATCGAATTATGAAACAGAATACACACCATAATATATAAGCACTCGCCTTGTAATACTAATAGTCCTAATTAAGTGAGCCCCTTAATGTCGTAGTGCATTAGCTTATATATTCATTAGAGCTGGTACAATTAAGTATCTATAATGATCTTAATTTCATTTTCTGGATCTTATATAATAATTGTATAAAACTTGACCTGATTAACTTCTTCTGGTACTGCGATTGATTATAATACTCTATTAGTAACGAATGACGAAATATAACCACTCACCTTGTAATAGTCCTAATTAAGTGAGCCCCGTCAACGCTCCACACTCTTTTGCTTCCTCCTAGAAAAAAACACAGGCGCTTGTATTCACGGAGTTATGCCTCACAGTCTCAGCGCTTACAAGAACCGTGAACGTATAACATTCACACTATGCAAGTATAAACATGTTCATGTGAGAACTGACCGCACTGCACTGGTCGCAACTCCGCCTCGCCTTACACATGTACTGACCTAGCCACAAGTTACCTTCTCGCTTTTCATTACGTGGTTTTCCTCGAAGTGAGGTCGGGCAAGAACTGGCCCATCCTTGCATTGGCACTCGAGTTAAAAGAACTGGCCTATCCTTGCATCCTCCGACCGTCTTACAATAATTGACCCATCCTCACACCCTACATCCACTCATAGCTGGTCGCCCAGTCAGCATAGACGAAACTGGTTACGTAAAACTTGTTTTGTCACACGCTGCCGAGCCACTTATAGTCGCTCAGCCGCCTAACCATCTGCAACAGTGGCTTTGTTCTACGCGCTAAATATGAGATGCGTCGATGTTTCCCACGTGCAAAACCCCGCGCTACGGCCACGCCCGACTTGTAAGACAATAGATCACGTAAGAAAACAACGAACGGAGGTGTATCAGTCTTAATCTTAAAGGCAACAGAAATCTACGAGCGAAATGCACATGTGGCATGAGCATGCTCACGCCACGATTTCCGACAAAACCACGACCGGAAAATATAACCCGTCAATAATTCCTAACTCAACAATCGCTAACCACGTCACCACTCAGCTGTTTTTTAAAGTACAGTTTCTATTTCTACTATATATATATAGTAGAAGTGGAAACCGTACGTTTTTGAAGAATAGCTGATATTTATATAGCTAGAGAGGAAAAGAAAGGTGGGAGAAGAGAAAGCCCTTTCCACACTACTACATGGGGCATACCCACCTATCGGACTCTCGTGTGTTATCCCGCATGTTGTCTCTCCCTCTATCTTTCTCTCTTAATCTCTCCCTCTTGCTCTGTCTTTCCCCATATCTTTCTCCCACGTCTCACTCACTCTACCCCCTTCTCTCAGTGTCTATCTATCTCTATCTTTTGGTATTCTCTATTTCTCGCTCTCAATCTCTCATGTTCTACCTATACTCTCTCTTCCCATTTATCTCTCCGTTTCTATCTCTCTTTCGCTCGCTTCCTATCTACCTCTATCTCTTTCTTTCTTTTCTCTTTATCTCTACTCTCTCTCGCTCTCTCTCTCTCTCTCTCTCTCTCTCTCTCTCTCTCTCTCT